AAGATTGCTTTTTGATTATATAAAATTGTTTTTTTAAAACTATTATATAAAAAATAAAATTGTCGCATTAGTACAGTATATAATATTAAATTATTATTAAATTTTTCTAAACTTATTATGAGATTAGGAAAAAATACTGTAAAAATATATATTTTTCAATAGAAAAAATACATTTTAACAATAATTGCAAAATATTTCACTAATATTGTAATAATAAAAAATAAATAAAATTTTGTAATTATTTTCAACAAATAACATTTTTTATTATTATAAAAATTTAAAATTATTAATAGAAATAAACTATATTTTTATTTTCTTATATAAAATAAATGTTTGCAATTTATATGAGTTGCTCAATAATGGGATAAAATTATAAAACTGTATTTTTTTAATATTTCAATAGTTAGTTAAAAAACAAAATTTATAAATTATTCATTTTTTAATAAAATTTAAATATAAAAAATAGTTAAGTATTTTATCTAATATAAACACTATATTTTATTTAAGGGGAGAATAATAATTGTATTACGATATTAATACATTAAAAAATAATAATTTCAATAATACAATATATAGTTTTAAAAAATGTAAAATTAAGATATCAAGTATTAACAATAATAATAATACCTGCAATAATAAGTTAAAATTAATTATTTATAACAATATTATCTTACAAAAAAAATTATTTATTTATAATACAATGATTTATCTATTAATATATACTGTATATGTCTATGTACTGGTATATGACTAACATTTATTATTATTATATATTATAAAAATAATATTGTATAAAAACTTATTTATATACTGTATATATAAAATACTGAAAATATTTTTTATATATTAATATTTTATCAACTTTTTTTTTGTTATTGTTTTGTTAATATTTATATTAGATTACCTTATTGTTTTAGATAATATAATATTTATTAAATTTCTGTATTATCTATATATATATATAAAAAACTACTAAAATTTATTAGTAAACAAATAAATTATTAATCTATTAAAATAGTTATTGTCGTTGTATTTATTTATTTTTTTTATTATTATATTTTAATTTTTCTCTAAACCAAAGATAACAGATTTAATAGAAAGAAAGAGAGAGAGAGAGAGAGAGCTATAAAAACATAATACAGTATAATATAATAGTAAATATTGTTATCATATTTATTACACAATATAATTATTTTGCTTTAATAATAATAATAGTTTTTTTTGGTTATAATAACTTGTTATCCAATACAATATAACCTAAAAAAAGTAATTTTATGAAAATAATAATACCAATAAAAAAAGTTTTTTTTTTAATCAATAGATAAGCAACAATCTATAGAAATAATTGAATTAAATCCAATATATAGTCTATTATATATATATATCATATAAAGTGTACAACAATTTTCTTATATAAACTTTAATTCATTGATAAATAATTTTTATTATTATTAGTATTGTTTGCATTGAAATACACACAGAATATTCTGTATTAAACAATTCAATATATTATATATATATATTTAGAGAGAGAGAGAGAGAGAGATAGCATAGTATAGTATAATACTGTATATTCAATGTACTGTAAATATATTTTTATAGTGATTTAAACATTGATTTTTATTATCTTGTTTTTATCGTTGACTAAACCTCATGTAATATATTAAATAAAGTAAAAGAGATTTTCTAATATTATATTAATACCCGTTTTGTTTTGTTTGTTGCATATAATACCCATACCATTGAATAACACACACACAAACTTGAAAACTGACAATAAAAAAACTTTTTTTTTGTCTATTTTATATAACAATAACAATAAAATTTGTACCAAAAAAAAAATAGTGTAATACTTTTTTTCATTGTGTTTTTATTGAAAGATTGAGTGTGAATAATAAATCATAAAAAAATTTTGGTTTATATATATATTCAATAATTTTAATAATTTAAATTTTGTTTAAATATTTTGTAATATTTAATTTTAGAAAATACTCTTAATTTAATTTTTTTATATTAAGATTTTATATACTTTAGTGAACATATTATTATTATTACATATATTATTATTTGTCATAATTAAAAAAAATTATTTAATATTCAAAAATATACATTTATTTATTTATTAAAATTATACACAAATAAACAAAATACACAAACAATAAATTAAAATTAAATTAAATATTATAAATATTATTTTTAAATAATATTTTTTGCTAGTTTTTATTTTGGAAAATTACATAAAATTTGAACGATTTATTTAAATTGTTATATAAATTATATTGTTAATTATATATATATTGATATATATAATTATATAAATATTTTATTCAATAGTAGAATTAATATAGTATTAAAAAATAAAACAAAATATTTAATTTAAATTTATGTTTATGATCATTTATTTTAATAAACTATTTTATTTTATATTTAATATATTGTATTTATACATATAATGTATGTAAAAACATTATTTAGCGATGAGTTAGATATAGAAATATATATAGAAAATAGTGATTTATATTTTGTTTTACTAAACTATATAACTTTATTATTGATATTTATAGTTGTGAAAAAACAATAACAAAAATAAAAAAACAGTCATTTAATACAATGTTATGCCTATCATTACTATAGTTTGATTTTGTTTTATTTATTTATATAGTGTATAACATTTTTTGTGGATTCATCCAAACAGATATTAGTGATTTTGTCCATTATTTTAGTTATTTTTTATTTAGTAATACATTATAACTTTATTCATTAAAATAAAAGTTAATGATAGTAGAGAGAGAGAGAGAGAGAGAGAGAGAGAGAGAGAGAGAGAGAGAGAGAGAGAGAGAGAGAGAGAGAGATATTATGTATTTTATTTAATGATAATACATATGGGAATAATCTTTTATTTATTTTTTTTTTGTTTAGAAAACAAAATAAATCCAAATTTATTTCATTGTTATGTTTAGTTTTTTTAACCATTTTTTGAACCTCAGTTTAAATTTTGTAATTTAAAAAATCAAAATAAAATTTTAACTTAATTAATATGTTTTATTTTTAATTAAATAAAATTATTAAATAAATTACACAACAGTTTACATGCTATTATTTTTTATATACAATATTCTATACTAAATATTGTTAATAAAATTTTTAAAAATAAAAATAGCATTTAATTGATATGAATTTATATTCTGTTAAGTGTGTAATAACTTAAAAAATAAAACTTTAAAGATTAATGACAACAAAAAATTATGTAATTTATCAAAAATTATTATTTAATTTTATCAATATTTAATTGAAAAGATTTATCACTTGGAAAATCCATATTAAATACTATAAATCGTTAGTCATTGATATACAATATTCATATAATGTGTTATTAATAGATACAATAAATCGTTATAAAAATTTAATAGAAAAATAGATTACTTTTTATTAATTATTTATATAATTTATATTAGAATATATATATATTAAAAAAATTATTAAAAATTAATTAATTAATTAGATTAAATTTTCTACTTATAATATTAACATATAAATAGACTTATTCACTTAATCTACATGTATGTACTGTATTGTACTTATTATAGATATATGTAATACAATAAAATTATAGTTTTAATTTTAAAGATAAAAATCTACTTGATGATAAAAATGACATTGAAATTTAACTTTAAAAAGTTTTTTTTAAATATAAATATTAATTATTATGAATTTATTGCAATTATCTCCTTATATTACCTTATACAGTATAGAAAATATAAAAATAATTTTTAAAAAAATTATATAACAAATTGTTTATATTAATGTAAAATTAGTTTTGTGTATTTACTATAGAATTATGAAATAAATTAATATTTATATTAAATATAGTATATTATTATAGAATTTTGACTAATAAACTAATATTATTTAAATAATAATAAATTTAACAATATTTATACAATAAAGTTAGTTATGTGTGCAATATTACGTAATAATATGTCATTCAAATATTTCCCAATAGTTAATCTCAAAACTTATTATATATACCGTATATATACTGTATATATATATATATATATATATATATATATATAATGCAATCATAAATATTGTAAATGTAAGAAAAATGTTTAATCTGACTAAATTAAATATTAATATTAAAATATATTGTGACATATGTTTTTCAAAAACAAAAATATTATATATATAATAATAATAATAACATAAATAGTCTGAATGTCATGTCTGAAACAAATTTAAATTTTATACATAAATCATATAATAATATCACACAATATATATATATATATATATATATATATATAAATATATATACATTAGTTATAATTAACAACAAATCTGTGTGTATGTACGTGTTATTATTATTATTATTATTATTAAATTGTTTGTTATTTTAATCTATACAAGAGATAATGTCAATTATAAATTGCTTATAAAAATTAAAATAACATAATTTTCTCGTATGATTGTGTGATAAAAATCATTTGCAGTACAAAAATATTGTGTAAACTATTTTTATTTGTGTTTTTCTAAACCACTTATAATAGATTTTTTTTGCTRAGATTAACCTATAATTAATATCTCAATTAGTTAGATATATATATATATATAATATTTAAATATAAATTTTATCTATTATATTATAATTAATAATTTATAAATATAATAATGTTGTGATTTTTGTTGTTGTTGWTGTTATTAAAAAAATTACATTAAACAAAAAAATTTCTAAAACATACCAAAAATAAAATCAAATAATAATTCAAAAATAAATAACTATTATATATATATATATAATAAAATTACATAAATATTTCACAATATAAATATATTAWTAATAATAAAAATAATAATCTATACAATTATTGATGAATTTTATTATTAATTAATTAAATAATTTTTTCTATAATTATCATTGCAGTGACATAATAATAATTATAAACTGGAACAATTCATTCAAAYAAAATTAATTAATAAATTATCAGGATCAAATAACTAACTAACAACAATATGGAATCGACTACCCAGCACAGTCCACCAATGATTAGTACGTTAATGTCCAGGYTATCTACTGATAAGCTGACCATGCTACTCGATATGATACGCAAAACAAACCTATCGACAAACATATTTAATTTGACTGGCATACCCTATGACTATAATTTTACTATAACTGATCAGCCATCACTGTTAGGCGCAYCGGGAGGTAGTGCTAGTAGTGTAGGTGCTGGTGGTGGTGGTTCGGGAGGCGGACTAATGTACGAATATATCGATACAGTAGCGCTGAAAGTGTTTTTCTATGGCCTATATATATTGATATTTTTCTTGGGCATAGCCGGCAACGCACTGGTATGCTATGTAGTATTGCGTAACTCATCCATGCATACCGTTACCAATTGGTTTATAACTAATCTGGCACTATCGGATATATTTCTATGTGTATTTGCCGTACCGTTTACACCATTATATTTGCTCACTTATAAGGAATGGGTGTTTGGGACTGTCCTCTGTCATCTCGTACCATACGCTCAGGGTTTGTGTTAAATGATTTTTTTAAAACTATTAATAGTAATTATTTAGTAATTAATAATTAAATTTAGGAATAATTTGTTTGTTTGTTTATGTGTGTGCAAAATATATTGAATAATTTTTTAAAAAATAATTTTTTAGTAAATTAAATTAATTATTATAATTTGTATGCTAATGTTTATATTAATTGTTTTTTTTAGTTCAATAATGTAATATTATTTAAATTAAATATTAAGATAATATATATATATATATATGAAATGTTTCAAAAAGATTACTTTTTTTTATTTTGTTTATAATATATTTTAAGTAAACTTTATTTTTAGTAAAGTTAAGTTTATAGTTTACTATAATTTTTTTTAAAAAAAGTTAAGATAGTATACTTTATTTGCTTTTAATTTTTTTTTTAGTTTCCTATTTTCAAATGCAAACTTTGCAATATAAATTCAAATGTATGTTTATGTTAGATTTAATCTATATATATATGTACAGTACAGTACAGTACTATATAAACATTATATTATATGACAATAATGTTTACTTATAATGGCAAACATTTTATTTATATATATATTAATACTAGAATCTAGTTGAAAAAAATCTAAATAATTAAATATTTATTATGTTTAATGTACCATTTAATAACTTATTTTACTAATTTAAAAAAAAATTTTTTTATATACATTTTAATAGAAATTAATTTAATTTTTTTTATTCAATCAATAAATAATTTGAATMGTTTTCAAACCTAACTATAAATTTATTTCTACACTTAATATGTGTTTAAATTATTATATTTTACTATAATTTCATTTTAATTATATTTATTTACAGTATACTACCGTATATTTATACAGTAATACCGCTATATATATATTAAAAGTACATTTTTTTATGTTTAATGTTTTAGGCAAAAAAAAATCATTATTATTTTTATTTTATTTTGCATTATTAAATTATWTGTATTATTTTTTGTTGTTTACATAATAATTTTGTTGTTATTGTTTTTACAATGATTTATATTTATATAGATGTTAATCATTTTAGATAAAAATACTTATTTTAATAATTTGCTTAAATAATAACATTAATTTCTAATTATAATATTTTTAAAAAATAATTTTTATATTACATAATCTTTAGAGACATCTCAAACACATTGAGTGTAAATTATTATTTATATAAATTAATAATAATAATAATACTGTATTAAATATTTTGTAAATTAATAGAGATTAACATACAATACACAAGTAAATACACATAAATGTCATAAAATTATAAAAATATTAATATAAATTAAATACAAGTTATGTCTGTCTGGACACATATATTGTAATAATAATAATAATAATAATTATTATTATTATTATTATTATTATTATGACAAAAATTTAATTTTCAATTACTAATTTTATTTTAACATTTTATTATTATTATTAATCTTACTATACTATTGTATTGTATAATAAATCTGATTTTGTGTGTCATCRTTATATAAGTATTATTATTATTATTATCACTTTTATTTTGTTAACATATATATATATATATATACAGTATATATATATATATATATATATATATATATATATATATATATATATATATATATATATATATATATATATATATATATATTGAGATATTATTATTTTTCTACTAAAATTAAATGACTGACTGACTAGACATTAGTGTTGGCAAAAAAGAGAAATTTATAAAATAATAGAGAAATTTCTAGAAAGTTTCTAAAAGAAATTTCTATCTATGGGATCCCCATGTTAATTTTGTTTTCTCTATATTTGTTATCTTGTAACATTGTTTTTAAAAGTAATAATTAAATATTAGTATTAGTATTTAAATTACTAATTAAAGTAAAAAATATATTTATTTAATTATACTAAACTATACTATAATAAAAAGGTCAATAAAATTTTACAAAACTGATTATTATTAAATAATAATAATTATTTATATAGGGAGTATAATATATATATTATATGTACAGTATTATGTCTCATTAATATATTTATAGTATTATAATAGCTAAAGATATGGGGATCCCATAGTAGTAGTTAAATTTTTGAAATTTATTCCTGAGAAATTTTCTAAACAGTAATTTATTAGAAAATTTGCCCATCTCTACTAGACATACATTTACTTTTGTGAAAATCCTGTTGAAATTATTGATAGTAATTGAAAATTATTATAGTCATTGAACTAGACTTTTAGATATATATTTATTTAGTCTACTTTAATATTAGTTTAGTTTTAGTAGTAGAGAGAGAGAGAGAGAGAGAGAGAGAGAGAGAGAGAGAGAGAGAGAGAGAGAGTTGGCTAATGACCTAATGATTTGTCTGAAAACATAACTAAAATTAAGTCATTATTGCAAACCATAGGATAGATAGACAAAAATCCATTACTTAAACAATAAATACTTTTATTATTATTATTATTATTATTATATAATCTTAATTGTAAATAATGATTTTGTCTAATTAAATATAATWTATATATATAATATATAAGCAGTATATAATTATTTATTTATATATCAATCAAGACATATACATGTTAGCTAAATGATTAAATAAGTTTCCAAATGAATTAGTTAAATTTAATTAGACTAATAATTTCAATAAACATTAATAAATAAATAATTTATTAATGTTTTTTTAGTTGGAAAAAGAAATTATTTTATTTAATTTCTGTTAACTTAATGTTTTTATTATAAAATGTTATAAATATTTATTTTTAATTGTTTTGTAATTAACTAATACAGTATATAAATTTTATAATGGCTAACATAATTAATGTTTTTTATTTTAACTATTATTTTATAAATTAAAATACAAATTAATTAGTATATTATAAATATTTGATAATAATAATAATAGATTAATTAATAAATTATATTTTAGTATATTTAATACTAATTTTTACAATTTAAAAAAAWAAATAAAATAATTTTATTATTATTAATTGAATTTATAWAAAAAAATATTAGTTTTCAACAAAAATAAAAATTATTTATCTTTTATTTTCACAATTTTTTTTTGAACAAATAAAAATTGTGTTCAAAAAAAACAAATAATTTACAGGTGTTTCGGTATACATATCGGCGTTTACATTGATGTCAATAGCCATCGAYMGRTACTTTGTCATTATCTATCCGTTCAAAGCCCGTATGGAAATGCGTGTCTGTCTATCGATAATTGTGGCCATTTGGCTGTCGGCTTGTTTGCTAACATTACCGTACGGTATATTCATGGAGTTGGAGCACTTTGCTACCGATGTTGGTGTTGTTGGCGGCGGTGGTGGTGGTGGTGGTGGGGACGGTGGCGGCTATACTATGATGAACAACATCGATGATGATGACCACCTACCACCTGGACTGGTACCCTATTGTGAGGAACGTTGGCCTTACGATGAATCGCGTAAGGCGTTCGGCATCTCAACATCGGTACTACAGTTTATCATACCGTTTGTTATCATAACGTTTTGCTATGTACGGGTGTGCGGGAAACTTTGGGATCGGGCCCGAGCCCGACCCGGATCAGTATCGATGCGCCGGGAAGAGATCGAAAGGGAACGGACCCGCAAAACAAACGGTATGCTTATCTCGATGGTCGTCATATTTGTCATATCTTGGCTACCATTGAACAGCTATAATCTGGTAATCAGTTTTATTATTATTATTATTTTATTATTATTACAATAATTATTATGATAATAGTTTTAATTTTATTATTATTAGTATTGAATAAAGTGTTTAATATTATTGTGATATTCACATAATATTTTTATATTGTATAATACCGTATATATATTTATTATTTCCATAATAAAACAATATTATTATTTTATTTATATTATTATTATACAGTATATTGTTAGTTAAGCTATAACTATATGCTTGCGAAAAAATATAGATAATAATTTACAGATTATAATCAAACAACAATAATATAATAATAATAATAATTATTATTATTATAGAATTTTTCGTATTTTGTTGTACAATATTTTATTACTATTGTTATTATTATAACAATAATAAAATTAATATTAATATTGTTTATTATTATTATTATTATTCTGTATATAATTATAGTTAGAGATTCTATAATAACAATAATTGTGTCGAAAAATACCCTGAAATTAGTCACATTTCCCGAGAATTGTCACAATATTTATTGCACCCATAAATGACATCCATTTCCTCAAACTATTTATTATTTTCATCTGAATTATTATTATTATTATTATCATTGTTGTTATATATATATATATAAACTTTATATATAATTTTTCAAAAATACTATACATTAGATAATAGTTTTTATAAAAAGATTTTACATTTTTTACATCTAAACTAAAAAGACTGAAATTTTTAAAAAAATATACAAATTAATTATTAATATTTATATTTAAAAAAAAACTATTAGATGATTTATATAATATTATTTATAAATCGATAACAACCAAACAAACAAAATAATTGTCAATAAAATAACTAATTATCAATAAAAAATTTGATTTTTTTTCAAACATAAATTAAAACATTTTTTTATCAAAAAATCTATTGTAATTACCAGTTAATTAATTATTAACAAATAATTTTGTAAGGAAAAAAATTAAACATTAATTTTTTGGTATTTAAATTTAGTTTTTTGGTATTTAATATTTAGTATTTTTGGTATTTAAAATTTAGTTTTTTTTGTATTTAATATTTAGTTTTTTTTGTATTTAATATTTAATTTATTATTTTTTTTGGTATTTTATATTTAGTTTTTTTGGTATTTAATATTTAATTTATTATTTTTGTTTGTTTTTTTTTTGTTGATTATAGGTACACGACTTTTACATCCCAGCCTCCTATTGGCGCTATTCGCGTGCATTTTTTGTATTAGCCCACGCAGTGGCCATGTCCAGCACCTGCTATAACCCGTTTTTATATGCCTGGCTTAACGAAAATTTTCGCAAAGAATTCAAACAAGTGTTGCCCTGTTTTCGGGCTAACTGTTCGACAGTGGCGGCCATGGAAATGAGGCACCGGGTCATCAAACAGCAACAGCAACAACACTGTATGAATGGTGGTAGTGGTGGTGGTAATGGTCACCAATCGATAGGTATGACCATCAACACCAACAATACAATCCTGTTGTCGGATAAGCCACAAAACGACAACAATATATTGTCGGCAACAGCTATGTTGAGTACAACAACAACAACTGCCTTATCGTCGACAGCGGTGTCGACACCGATGACCAATAATAACAATAATAATAATAATAATGAGCTCAATAATGATGATGACGATGATAACTGTGCCACTACTGAGCCATTGTTGGGCTGTCTGACCTCATCGACAGCTACAATGAAAGCCAATAATACCGGTGCTTCGGATAACCATAAGGACCGCAGTCAGTCTATTGGCAATACAAATGATATTAGGCTTACAGTGATCGACAACAATAGGATTTAAATATATATATATATATGGATTAACAAAAAAATATATCAATATATATATACATATATATAATGTTAAATATATTTGTTGTTGAATTATCTATAGAAAAACAAAACTAATAATTATGTGTGAGATTATAGACTGTGTAACTAAAAAAAAATTCATAGATTGATAGATACATGTATTACATGTATAGATGTGATGTATTTTATAATAACATTTATTAATTTATAAACATTTATTATTAGTTATCATATTTGTTATCAATGATCATTTGCACACATTTTTTCTGTACAATTTTAACTTATAATTGTATTGACACTATTTATTACTAATAATTTTTATTTGTGTGTAAAAATTTGTATATAATTTTACAATACTTTTGTATTATTATTATTATTATTTGTTTAAATATGTAAAATTATTTACACATTAATCCATTACATATGTTGAATAATTTATTATATAATATAAAAAATGTGTTAAACTTCTATATATTCAGAATATTCTGTATATATATTTATTATATATTATTATTATTGTTATATTATTATATATTAATATTTAATTTGTATATAAAAAATAATATTTTACAACTAATTTCATAATTACCAAGAAAATCATTGATTAATTTTAGCTATACTAATAATATCATACTATAAATATAGTATTTAATATATTATAATACAGTACTTAATAAATCCTATTTATAAATATCTATGTGTGGGTCTCTGGTTATGTTTATGACAGTTTGTTTATGTATATGTGTTTAATACATCTACAACAAAATATATATAATATATATAAGATACAGTATAACATATTTGATAATATTAAACATTTAATACATTTACAGTATAAATGTGATGATGATGTGATGTGATAATGACTATCCATTTAATGGGACCATTTAGTTGTGTCTATATATACTGTATATGTGTGTATATGTATGGATCAATTGTATAGTAATGTGTAAACTGTACTAAATGGCTATTTGACTTATACTGTATATATATATATATATATATATGACCCAATAACTAGCATAACCATCCGGAAAAATATAGAGAGGAGGGGAACGGGAGGATAGACCAACACAGTATGGACACAAAAAATCGATTATTTTGTGTAGACATACATCTATCTACCAGTGCATCTACACTTAGAGTTATAGGTTTTTATTTAAACACTATTGTTAGTACAGTACACACACACACACACACACACACACACACACACACACACACACACACACACACACACACACACACACACACACAAACATTATTGATATAATATTATCATTATTATCATTATATTTTTAGAGATAAAATCAATAAAAAAATTGTTTTTTAAGTATACGTAATAATACACTATTGATATTTAATAGATATATTTAATAGTATAAAAATACTAATAATAAAAACATTTAATTAGAAATTATTATAAGTTTGTATTAAAAAAGCAAATATATTTAGTAACAAACAAACTAAAATAATTGTTAGACTTTTTTTTGTTAATTTTTATTTAATTACATTACAAATATATAGTCTAATTATATAAATGTCTATTATATATCATATACCATATATATATATTAATACAATATTTTATTAATGATTTTTGTTATTTTAAAAAAAAAGTTTGTTAAATATTTAATAATTATCATTATTAACAAAATATTCCATATATTATTAATGTTTTTAAAAAAAATAATTTAAGTATTATTTAAAATATAAATATTATTTGGATATGAGATTTATATAAAAAAAAGTTTATAAAAAAATCAATGATATTAATAACAATAAACACATTAAACTTTATAACCCATTAGTTTAGTATACAATGTTTATAAGTATTGTTTTGAAAAAATAAACTATTTATTATCATAAAAGAAACTACAATAGTATAGTCTAATATTATAGTAAACCTATTTAATGATAAAATGATTTTATTGATCTTTAAAAGTCAAGTTTTATTATTGATTTTATAAACTTATTATTATTATTATTTTTAAATAAACTAAAAAATCTATGAATTTTATTAAGAAAATAATAAATAAATAAATACTTATTAATAATTACTAAAAATAAAAATAAAAGTTATTATAACTTATAGGACACACCATTAAATACATTAATATATTTATTAATACTATTGACTGAGTAGTGAGACTTGAATTTTTATGTTTTTTTAGTTRAAAACTTTTAAAAAAGTTTTTTTTATTGTATTTTGTTTTTTGTTGTTTTCAGTGTTAGTTTTTTTAGTTTGAAATTTTTCATCAACAAAAAAAATATAATAATACAGTAAAAGATTATTTTTCAATTTACTATAAATATATTTTTGATTTGATATTTCAATTTATTTTTGATATATTAAAAAAAACAAAATTATTAATGTTGTTTTCAATTCAAATGTTTTTATATTTATATATATATTGTTTTTTAAAATAATATTTTTTAGAAACTTATTTAAAATATATTATTATACTATAGTTATTAAATAAAATATTATCTGAACCAGTATTATACAGTATATATATGCTATTTGTTATTACATTTAAAAAAAACAATAATAAAAATATTATTATTATAAAAATTGTTATTAAATATTATATTAGTAATAGTTTATAAATGTCATTTAAATAACACATTATTTAAAATTGTAATTTTAAATATATATACTTAACTAAAAAAACACACACAATTTTATTATATGATATTCATATATTATTAAACTTAAGTGTATTTATAAAAATAAAACTAAATGATAAAACTTTTTTTTTATAAATATTATATATTTTACTATACTTATTGTTTCACTTTTTTTAAAAAAACATGTAAAATTTGTTGTTATAATTTTTTGTATCACTAAATTATGTTAAAATTAAAAATAAAATTATTATTACAGTAGTACCTAAAAAAAAAAAACTTCAATTATTTTTATTAATTTATAACATTTTTAAAAAAAAATATATATTTTTTAAATTCAATTAAATTTTTCGATATAAAATAGTTTAGTCTCTCTCTCTCTCTCTCTCTCTCTCTCTCTCTCTCTCTCTCTCTCTCTCTCTCTCTCTCTCTCTCTCTCTCTCTCTCTCTCTCTCTCTCTGTTATCATACTTCCATTAAATTATATATTATTTTTAAAAAATAATTTATTTCTAAAAGCATTTATAAATTTTATTTTTATCAACAAAAAAAATATATAAATAGTTTCTACAAACTAATAAATCTAAGTAAATCATTTGAAAATACGATAACAATTTTTTTACATATTAAATTTACATATAAAAAATATATCTATATTATTTATTCAAAAAATAATTCAATTTAATTTATCTAAAATAATTTTAATAAAACTCTATAAATAATACTCTATAAATAAGACACATAAATTATATAAGCATTTATTTTATTTAAATCAATAGATAGATAATAATAGATAAGAAAWAAAAATAAAATAAATATTAAATCAAAAAATACTGTATAAAAAATAGACTATTTTTTAAAACTAAGGCATAATATTAATTTTCAAATATATAATGTATTTTTAAAATCGGAAATTGTATTATATAAAAAAAAACAAAAAACAAACAAAAAAACTTATAYATATATTATACTATAATAATATATAAAATATTTTTTTTAAATGACATTGAAAGTCATTTACCAGTTGTTAAAACAAATTGTTATGTCTTATCAAAAAACAATGACTGCATATCATTTCAGATGAGATATCTTTACACAAAAAAATAAATAAAACAAATAAAAACAATACAATACCAGTCTATAGTCTATAGTGACATAAAAAAAATTATTTATAACCTTGACAATTAAATATTTATCAATTTTTATGTTATTAGTGTTACAAAAAATTTATTTATTATTTAAGAGATAATTTTCAATAATTAKAAATTACTGTATATTAGMAATTTTWTTTCTATATAAATATTTATTTTAATTATTTATAAATATATTAAATTATAACAAAAATAATAGTTAAATAGCTTTTTATATGCAATTTAATTAGTATTTAATATATATTTATATAAATATATACTCTATTAATATATTAAATTTATAAATAAATTGTTTTATTATTTTTTCATCTATTTTTTGACCATCAATACTGTTTTTAGTTTGTATTAAAATTACTGGTAAATTGTTTGAATAGTTTTGGTCACAATTTATAATGCAATTACTATTGTATACACAAATCAATGGTATGTTTTATATACCGATTGTGAAAAATCATAATAGATTTCTCTCTCTCTCTCTCTCTCTCTCTCTCTCTCTCTCTCTCTCTCTCTCTCTCTCTCTCTCTCTCTCTCTCTCTCTCTCTCTCTCTATCATTCATGTTGTATAATATACGATAGTATTATTGTTTTTTATGTTTGGTTTGTTATATACCCGATATTTTATAACCATAATGTTKTTGTTGTTGTTTTAGTATCTTTTTGCAAAATGTAAACCAATAATGACCRCTACTAATGGCYATATCTGTATACAGTTTGGGTATAATACAGTATAATAGTACAGTATATACATTACGTATATAAAGTTGTATATATAAAACAAACAAATTAAATGAATGATTTCTATAATAACTATACAGATTTTATACAATGGATAAACACACTAATATAATACACATATAACTTATAWATATATATATATATCCAGTAATGTATATAAAAAATAGATGATTGAAAGTTAAAAAGCATTATAGAGATTATTAACAAACAAAATAAAACCTAACAATATTATTATTATTATTGTTTTTTCTGTTAAATATATCGTTAAATTATATATATATATATATATATATATATATATATATATATATATATATATATATATATATATATATCATAATATGATATATATAATGACTTTATTATTATTATTATTATTATTAATAGTACTGTATTTGATTGTTGTCGTTGATCTGTTTTTTATACAGTAGTTATACAAACAAACAAACAAAAATCAGATAATAATAAAATCATTTATCATTATTATATACTATTGTTAKAATTCAGTTAGAATTCAATATAAAAATAAAATATTTAAAATAAATTATAACAATATTTTACACATTGTATAAGTAATCTATAAATAATTTAAACRCAATTTAGAAACTATTTATAAAAGCATGYTATTAATTAAAAATTTTATTTAAAAATAAAAAATTTAGTATTACAGTGTATTATATTTGTGGTTATTAATTTTTTATTATCATATTATAATTTTTTTTGTATATGAAATTTGCACTATAATAGTGATGACAAAACAACATTTTTCAAATATTTTTTATGAGATCATTACAACTACAATAAATAAATAAAATTTTAATTATAAATTTAATTACTACTACTACTACTACTATTACTATTACTACTACTTGTTTTTATTACAATATTATATTTGTAAATGATAATATTCAGAAATATGAGAAATAATCAGTGATAATAAAGTTAAAATATATTGTAAAAAAATATATATTATATTATTATAATTTTTTTTTATAATTATTTGTTAGAGTATAGTAATTATATAAAAATATTAATTTAAAAAAAAWATATATCCAACAAAATACAATATGTAATATATGCAATTAATTATATATATATATATATGTATTAAATAGTTTATATTATTAATGACACTATTAATTGTTTATAAGCTAATTATCACGAATTAATAGTAAAATAATTTATATATATACAAACTATAAGTCTATTAATTTGTATATATTTAGAAATATGAATAAATTTTCAATAGTTTTCAATTTTAGTTATTTATTATTATTATTATTATCATCATTGTTATTATTATGCAATAATTGTCAAGGACAGTCATCATCATCATCATCATCACCGATACGGGTATCAATAACTAATGGTACAGTTGAAGGACAGTCATATTTGGTCAACAATAACAAGACTGTCCATAAATTTATTGTAAGTAACAAATAATTATATAAATTATTTGAAAACATTGTATTTGTTTTTGTTGTTAATTAATTAATTAAATAATTTTCTAGTGGCCCATAAATTTTTTTTAAAACAAACATTTAATTAATATTAAAATTATTTTACTAATATATAAAATTTTATATATTAATTAATACTAAATTATTTTAATTTTTGTAAAGTTATTATTTTGTTTAGTTGTTATATTGCTATTGCCATCTATTTATAGATAATTTTATAGTAAATATATTATATATATAATTTAAACTTTAATTTAAATTTTAGATTAATTAATAATTGTTTATTTTTTAAATGTAAATTAATTCATTAAAAAAAGGGCATACCATTTGCAAAGCCACCTACCGGTGCCAACCGTTTTCAGAAACCTGTTCCCTATGACCGCAAATTTGCCGGTATTTATGCGGCCGACAAAATCAAACCTCAATGCATGTCACCGATGAACACGTCGGTAATGTCCGAGGACTGTCTCTATCTGAACATATGGACAGCGGCGGCCAATTTGAATACCAGTGCTACTAATACCGGGACCACTACTGGCCAACCACCACTGCTGCCGGTAATGTTGTGGTTATACGGCGGCTCATTCATCATGGGTTCGGCCACTAAACAAGTGGACGGCTTGAATATTTTCGATGGCACACAACTGGCGCTCAGGGATGTAGTTGTGGTAACTGCTAACTATAGGTTAGGTGTGTTTGGGTTTCTCTACAACAACGATGATAATGCTGATGATGGTGATGAAGCACCCGGTAATATGGGACTATGGGATCAGGTACTGGCCATGCAGTGGATACAGTCGGAGATCAGGGCGTTTGGCGGCAATCCCGASTCGGTWACCATTTTCGGTGTCAGTGCCGGCAGTATGTCTATCAGCGCACACATTGTGTCTCCTGTTTCGCGTCAATTGTTTASMAACGCAATCATGGAATCGGGTAATCAAAAAAATAYTGTCTAAAACATACCGGAGCTGATCTAACTAACCAAATGTATGATTAATCCACGCTATTATAGGTTCGCTATATATACCACCGTTGATGACCACTAAGGAACAGTATTCAACATTTATGAAACAGTTTGCCACAAACGGGTCGTACTTTGCGGGCAATACTGTCTGCGCCGACGACAGCCATTGGGTTCGGTGTCTGAAAGGACTGTCGGCTGAAATGTTGAACAGTGCTCAGGGATCGCTATTTTTAGGTACATTTCGGCAAACAACTGGCGTACCGTTTAGGCCGATATTCGGCGACCAATTGTTACCGAAAGATTTCGGTCGTGCACTCAAAGATCGGGACTTTAAACAAGATGTCCGACTACTGGTCGGCCATTCGGCGATGGAAGGCGTGTCGTTTGCCAACGATTTTGACCAAATTGTCGGTTTGGACGGTCGYTACAATCCGCGACTGATGCCCGACAAAGTGACCAGCGATCAGATTGGCAAAGATATCGAACAGTTTATGAGTGGCAACCAATTAAAACTACGGAAACAAATAGCCAGTGACTATACTGACAGCTATCGGTCAGTTGATAGCGACCAGACCCGTGAACTAATACGTGCGGCCGCCCATTCGTTCGGTGATTTTGCTATCACTTGTCCGACTATTATATATGCCGCCGAACTGGCCAAACAAWTGGTAGCCAATRGTAGTACGGTTCAGGATAAACATGTATATCAGTATCGATTGACTTATGCCAACTCCCGGAGCATATCGTACGACAGCTATTGGGCAGAAGCCGARCACACGGATGAACAGCCACTGGTTTTTGGACGTCCACTCAATGATGATGTGGTGGACCAACAGTGGACTGAACTGACCGACAATTGTGTTCATTGTTTATGCAAATATGGACCGACTTTGCCAAACATGGGTTTGATTTTTGTTTGTATACAATATTTCTATTAATAATTTTTTTTTGGTTTGTTTTTGATTTGTATAGTAAACCGACAATCGGTGGCAAACAGTGGCCACAATACAGTGTCCGGAGAGACGGCAAAATAAATGCCACATATGTTGAACTAAATCCACGATTAGTTGACTCGCATGTTGTCCATCGGGACAGATATCGGGGAACAGATGACCGAACAGTTGCGGCTATCAATAATTGTCTGGACTATTGGTTTCAATTGTTTACTGAACCAAATAATACTAATAATAATAGTCAGAAAAAATTAGACATAAATAATATGTTTATCATTATTGGTATAATTTTTTATTTTTTAATACATTATACACAATAAATACACTTAAATTTATATTTATAGTAGTAGTATATAGTAGTAATCAAATTCAAATTCAAATCAAATAGTTTTTTAATTGAACAACAATTTTTTTAATTATTAATAAATCAATTGATAAAACAATTGTATTGTAATTTGTGATCACTTTTATTGTTTTTATTTTTTAAATTGCAATTCATTCTCACAAAATACACCACAACTCTAGTCTACTTTAAAGTCCTACTCTAGTCTACACTTACGCCTATTTGTCTTTCACCAGCCTTTACCCGAACCGCCAGTTTTCCAATAATACGGTCTGGTTTTGTTAGGCGGMGGAGGAGGTGGTGGTGGCGGCGGCGGCGGTGGTGGTGGTGGAGGAGGAGGTGGTAGTCCACCAGTGCCTCCATATTGTTGCTGTTGCTGTTCGTACTGATAATTGGGTCTCGGTTTTGGTGACGGTTGACGACGATTACTACCACTACTACTATTATCCTTGATTTTCCGACTTTTGTCCCATTGATTAGGTTTGCGTTGGCCAGTAGTCTCGTATTTTGTTGTCTGATCTCTGCATTCACCCCACCATCGATTGGTAATACCCGTATCGCGCAGTTTATTTCGCCTAAAGTTTTTCAATTCATCGATTAGCGGATCTGTGCCGTCTTTGGTCARCGTCGGCCGATTGACAAATCGCGGCGGCGGTTTKGGCATCGGCGGTAGTGGTGGGTCTAGGTTTTGACTGTCCAGTGTCGTCGTCGCCGTCATCATTATCATCCCCTTCCTCACGTCTCTGGCCGGACATGGATCCCCGATCCTGTCTGTCCGATTCGTCCCAAAGTGGCCGATCTCGTTGCCAGCCGCGTCTCAATCTGTTCCGATCAAACTTCATAAAGTCTTCGCCAAAATCTTGCAACGCTCCCGGTCCGCAACGGCCCGTCGGTTTGGGTATCGGTGCCGGTTTGGGTCGTCTATAATTTCTTTGTTGATTGTCATCKCCCGGAGCTGTGGTGTCCTCATCCACATCATCGTCAGGTCGTACATATTTTGGCACTTGTCGTTCAGTTTYAGACCAAAGTGGCGGACCTTTGCGWCCCGGCCTGAGCTTTGTCTTATCAAACTTTTTCAGATTATCCAACATCTCATCATTGTATTTRGGATACATATCTCGGCCACGATAACCACCGCCGCCGCCACCAGTCTGGCGGCGGTCAGGTTTCGGTGGTCGAAACGAATCGTCTTTTTCGGTTGTCTTRAACCAGTTTCCCAAACCGTCAGTTTTCCAATACTTTGCTCCGTCTGTTGTATTTGTCGCCCCGGAGGAGGAGGTGGTGGTGGCGGCGGCGGCGGCGGCGGCGGCGGCGGCGGCGGCGGTGGTGGAGGCGGTGGAGGTGGAGGAGGAGGAGGTGGAGGATGAAACCGTGGTTGTGGTTGCGGCGGCGGTGGAGGAGGTGGTGGTGGAGGTGGTGAGGTGGAGGAGGATAAAGCCGTGGTGGCGGTGGAGGTGGTGGTGGATAACCCTTATCTCTTTCATCCTCACCGTAGTCATAGTCTTTCGGATAGAAATCTGTCGGTTTTGGGGTGTTTTAGTTTTCTTGTCGGTCGTCCACTCAGTTATATCGCGTCTGACACCRTCGAGACCGCCGTTTTTGTCGACAAAATTCAATATRTCGTCCATCTTTTGGCGATCGTTGACCAAATGTCTGGCACCGATACCATCGAGAAACTYCAGCATCTCTCGGGGCGCCCGTTCCTCGCGAAACCCTTGTTTCGGATTCCAGCCTAACTGTCTGAGTCGTTCGTATTGTTTCTGTTTGACAGTGGCTACCAKTCCKCCGAACTCTTTGGCCTCGCGTTTGCTATCGAAATTCAGACCAACCGTACGATCGGCCGCATCGAACGTATGAAACTGTGGCCGCACTGTCTTATAGGTTACCGTATGCTTTATTTCCCATTCAAACTGTTTGCCCGCCGCGTACCCGCAGYTGTCGCTGACTGGTGTCTCTGTTGTAGTCATTGTCTGGCAAATTGTAGCACCGAATCCATGCCGATTGAGTRGTCGAATCMATTTCCAGACTGACTACAGTTCCCGGATTTGGASCGAGTYTGGTCCACTGTCGGTGCAGYGGCGGTACGGTTGCATTTATGTCGGCTACKGTTGCGTACAGMGATACCGATCCMCGACCTATCAGTCGACTGAGCAAATTGTTTTGTCGGTCAGTCAATACAGATGACCGAAATATCAGTTTCATTTGCTGATTGTTGTTGTCGTRCTGTCCACTCTCTCTCTCTCCCTCTCTCTCTCTSTCTCTCGGGCTTTGTATGTACTRTAAAATCAAACACTGTCTGTCCTAAATGGGTATTGTTKTAGCTAACTGTCCACTTMTTCAAATCAATTGTATTGAATATGGTTTGAAAAAATTAATGTTGAATTGATTTTTKTTTTATTTTAATTCTCTCTAATTGTTATATTTAATTGTTGTGTAATTTTTAATTTATATTTTTTTGAAAAAATTGAAAAAAACTATAGTTTTATGAATTAAATAAAAAAATATTATTGTTTTATTATAGATTTAATTGTTTGAAAAATACAAATAATAATGTTTTATTTTATTTTTTTGAAGCACCGGTAGATTAATTAATTATAAATATACATATATTTTTTGTTGTTGAATATAACTAATAATTTAAAATGTTCACTAATTTATAAAATTATTTATTTAGTCAACATTTTATTATTTATAATAATAATAATAATAAATTTTAATATCACTAACAAACTAATTGTCAATAGAGCTGACAAAAAAAATTAAAGTAAATAATAATAATAATCCATTTAATTATCAGTCAATATATATATATATATGCGTATAATACTATCTGAACGTCAATCTAATAATGTATATATGAATATATATGATATTTATTTATATAAGTAATCAGATATTAAATTTCAAAAAAAAATTTAAAACATGATTCAATGCAATGTCCAAAAAAAATATTTTTAAAACATTGTCGCCAAGTTGTCTATTAAGTTATATATTGTAACCCGCATGTTTTACTCATACATTACATACATATTAAAACAAACATTTATAACTACACACATAGCATGTCATTAGTTTATTATAATTTATTATAGCTGTTAAAAGTGTGTCATCATTACAAATAATTATGATTTATTATAAATAAATCATTTTCAATATGTATTTGATTTATCCAAATATTTTACATATAATTTAATATATATATATATATATATATATATATATTTAATAATAGACAAAACAATTATTATTTCATATTAAAAACATTTATATAATTACAATATATAATATCATTTCCTGTTTAAAATGATACATATTTTGAATATTACAGTATATATTCACTGTATATATTGAAAATAAGATTTTAAAAACTATTACTATTTATTTTGATTGCCTTATTGTAAAGATTTTATATGTATATATTTTTTATTAAACTAAATAACTATATACTTCAAAATTAATTAAAGTTTTTCTAATAAAAAGTATTAATAATTAATTAATTTCTAATTATGGCTAAACAAATATCTCTGTGCTATAAATATGTAATAACTATAAGTTTATGTATATCATTGTTTATAACGGTTAATATAAATAAATTTAATAATTTTTGTTATAAAATTAATATTAATTAAAAAATTTTAATATTATTTAGAAATTATCCAATGGTATACTAAGTGCATCGATAACTGATTATCAACTAATATATGGCATAACATTACAACAATTATCATTAGTATTGGTTATTAATAACATTATGTCAATGTTTGGATCATTGGGTAATATGCAGTATATATTTATTAATAGAAATAAAATAATCTAAACTAAAATAAAATAAATGTATGGTCAGTTTGGTAGTATATGGCACCTGTAGTGCCTTGTTGGCCAGTCTACCCACATATGGTTGGCTAATGGCGTCGATGTCTGTGTCCGGTCTATTTCACGATGGTTTCTATCTAATGAAAAACCTATGGATAATGGAAATGTGGTCCAAACAGTCGGCTCCATATTTGCATGCATTGAATTTTGCCGAAAATCTATCAAATATAATGGGAGCCGTACTGGCCAAACCGTTTTTGTCGACAGCCATACAAAACAGTACACAAACAACAACTACTAATACAATGGATACTACTGGGTCTCGTATATATACACCGACATAAACTAATAAATTAGAATATTACAGACCGATAATAATCATATTCTGACCCGCCTTAATAATGATATAATTAATTAAATTATTACAAACCCATAATAATCATATTCTGACCCGCCTTAATAATGATATAATTAATTAAATTATTACAGACCCATAATAATCATATTCTGACCCGCCTTAATAATGATATAATTAATTAAATTATTACAGACCCATAATAATCATATTCTGACCCGCCTTAATAATGATATAATTAATTAAATTATTACAAACCCATAATAATCATATTCTGACCCGCCTTAATAATGATATAATTAATTAAATTATTACAAACCCATAATAATCATATTCTGACCCGCCTTAATAATGATATAATTAATTAAATTATTACAGACCCATAATAATCATATTCTGACCCGCCTTAATAATGATATAATTAATTAAATTATTACAAACCCATAATAATCATATTCTGACCCGCCTTAATAATGATATAATTAATTAAATTATTACAGACCCATAATAATCATATTCTGACCCGCCTTAATAATGATATAATTAATTAAATTATTACAAACCCATAATAATCATATTCTGACCCGCCTTAATAATGATATAATTAATTAAATTATTACAAACCCATAATAATCATATTCTGACCCGCCTTAATAATGATATAATTAATTAAATTATTACAGACCCATAATAATCATATTCTGACCCGCCTTAATAATGATATAATTAATTAAATTATTACAAACCCATAATAATCATATTCTGACCCGCCTTAATAATGATATAATTAATTAAATTATTACAGACCCATAATAATCATATTCTGACCCGCCTTAATAATGATATAATTAATTAAATTATTACAGACCCATAATAATCATATTCTGACCCGCCTTAATAATGATATAATTAATTAAATTATTACAGACCCATAATAATCATATTCTGACCCGCCTTAATAATGATATAATTAATTAAATTATTACAGACCCATAATAATCATATTCTGACCCGCCTTAATAATGATATAATTAATTAAATTATTACAGACCGATAATAATCATATTTTGACCCGCCTTATTAATGATATAATTAATTAAATTATTACAAACCCATAATAATCATATTCTGACCCGCCTTATTAATGATATAATTAATTAAATTATTACTGACCCATAATAATCATATTCTGACCCGCCTTAATAATGATATAATTAATTAAATTATTACAGACCCATAATAATCATATTCTGACCCGCCTTAATAATGATATAATTAATTAAATTATTACAGACCCATAATAATCATATTCTGACCCGCCTTAATAATGATATAATTAATTAAATTATTACAGACCGATAATAATCATATTTTGACCCGCCTTATTAATGATATAATTAATTAAATTATTACAAACCCATAATAATCATATTCTGACCCGCCTTAATAATGATATAATTAATTAAATTATTACAGACCCATAATAATCATATTCTGACCCGCCTTAATAATGATATAATTAATTAAATTATTACAAACCCATAATAATCATATTCTGACCCGCCTTAATAATGATATAATTAATTAAATTATTACAGACCCATAATAATCATATTCTGACCCGCCTTAATAATGATATAATTAATTAAATTATTACAGACCCATAATAATCATATTCTGACCCGCCTTAATAATGATATAATTAATTAAATTATTACAGACCCATAATAATCATATTCTGACCCGCCTTAATAATGATATAATTAATTAAATTATTACAAACCCATAATAATCATATTCTGACCCGCCTTAATAATGATATAATTAATTAAATTATTACAAACCCATAATAATCATATTCTGACCCGCCTTAATAATGATATAATTAATTAAATTATTACAGACCCATAATAATCATATTCTGACCCGCCTTAATAATGATATAATTAATTAAATTATTACAAACCCATAATAATCATATTCTGACCCGCCTTAATAATGATATAATTAATTAAATTATTACAGACCCATAATAATCATATTCTGACCCGCCTTAATAATGATATAATTAATTAAATTATTACAAACCCATAATAATCATATTCTGACCCGCCTTAATAATGATATAATTAATTAAATTATTACAGACCCATAATAATCATATTCTGACCCGCCTTAATAATGATATAATTAATTAAATTATTACAGACCCATAATAATCATATTCTGACCCGCCTTAATAATGATATAATTAATTAAATTATTACAGACCCATAATAATCATATTCTGACCCGCCTTAATAATGATATAATTAATTAAATTATTACAGACCCATAATAATCATATTCTGACCCGCCTTAATAATGATATAATTAATTAAATTATTACAGACCGATAATAATCATATTTTGACCCGCCTTATTAATGATATAATTAATTAAATTATTACAAACCCATAATAATCATATTCTGACCCGCCTTATTAATGATATAATTAATTAAATTATTACTGACCCATAATAATCATATTCTGACCCGCCTTAATAATGATATAATTAATTAAATTATTACAGACCCATAATAATCATATTCTGACCCGCCTTAATAATGATATAATTAATTAAATTATTACAGACCCATAATAATCATATTCTGACCCGCCTTAATAATGATATAATTAATTAAATTATTACAGACCGATAATAATCATATTTTGACCCGCCTTATTAATGATATAATTAATTAAATTATTACAAACCCATAATAATCATATTCTGACCCGCCTTAATAATGATATAATTAATTAAATTATTACAGACCCATAATAATCATATTCTGACCCGCCTTAATAATGATATAATTAATTAAATTATTACAAACCCATAATAATCATATTCTGACCCGCCTTAATAATGATATAATTAATTAAATTATTACAGACCCATAATAATCATATTCTGACCCGCCTTAATAATGATATAATTAATTAAATTATTACAGACCCATAATAATCATATTCTGACCCGCCTTAATAATGATATAATTAATTAAATTATTACAGACCCATAATAATCATATTCTGACCCGCCTTAATAATGATATAATTAATTAAATTATTACAGACCCATAATAATCATATTCTGACCCGCCTTAATAATGATATAATTAATTAAATTATTACAGACCGATAATAATCATATTTTGACCCGCCTTATTAATGATATAATTAATTAAATTATTACAAACCCATAATAATCATATTCTGACCCGCCTTATTAATGATATAATTAATTAAATTATTACTGACCCATAATAATCATATTCTGACCCGCCTTAATAATGATATAATTAATTAAATTATTACAGACCCATAATAATCATATTCTGACCCGCCTTAATAATGATATAATTAATTAAATTATTACAGACCGATAATAATCATATTTTGACCCGCCTTATTAATGATATAATTAATTAAATTATTACAAACCCATAATAATCATATTCTGACCCGCCTTATTAATGATATAATTAATTAAATTATTACTGACCCATAATAATCATATTCTGACCCGCCTTAATAATGATATAATTAATTAAATTATTACAGACCCATAATAATCATATTCTGACCCGCCTTAATAATGATATAATTAATTAAATTATTACAGACCCATAATAATCATATTCTGACCCGCCTTAATAATGATATAATTAATTAAATTATTACAGACCCATAATAATCATATTCTGACCCGCCTTAATAATGATATAATTAATTAAATTATTACAGACCGATAATAATCATATTTTGACCCGCCTTATTAATGATATAATTAATTAAATTATTACAAACCCATAATAATCATATTCTGACCCGCCTTATTAATGATATAATTAATTAAATTATTACTGACCCATAATAATCATATTCTGACCCGCCTTAATAATGATATAATTAATTAAATTATTACAGACCCATAATAATCATATTCTGACCCGCCTTAATAATGATATAATTAATTAAATTATTACAGACCGATAATAATCATATTTTGACCCGCCTTATTAATGATATAATTAATTAAATTATTACAAACCCATAATAATCATATTCTGACCCGCCTTATTAATGATATAATTAATTAAATTATTACTGACCCATAATAATCATATTCTGACCCGCCTTAATAATGATATAATTAATTAAATTATTACAAACCCATAATAATCATATTTTGACCCGCCTTATTAATGATATAATTAATTAAATTATTACTGACCCATAATAATCATATTCTGACCCGCCTTATTAATGATATAATTAATTAAATTATTACTGACCCATAATAATCATATTCTGACCCGCCTTATTAATGATATAATTAATTAAATTATTACAAACCCATAATAATCATATTCTGACCCGCCTTATTAATGATATAATTAATTAAATTATTACAAACCCATAATAATCATATTCTGACCCGCCTTATTAATGATATAATTAATTAAATTATTACAAACCCATAATAATCATATTTTGACCCGCCTTATTAATGATATAATTAATTAAATTATTACTGACCCATAATAATCATATTCTGACCCGCCTTATTAATGATATAATTAATTAAATTATTACTGACCCATAATAATCATTTTCTGACCCGCCTTATTAATGATATAATTAATTAAATTATTACAAACCCATAATAATCATATTTTGACCCGCCTTATTAATGATATAATTAATTAAATTATTACTGACCCATAATAATCATATTCTGACCCGCCTTATTAATGATATAATTAATTAAATTATTACTGACCCATAATAATCATTTTCTGACCCGCCTTATTAATGATATAATTAATTAAATTATTACAAACCCATAATAATCATATTTTGACCCGCCTTATTAATGATATAATTAATTAAATTATTACAAACCCATAATAATCATATTCTGACCCGCCTTATTAATGATATAATTAATTAAATTATTACAAACCCATAATAATCATATTTTGACCCGCCTTATTAATGATATAATTAATTAAATTATTACAAACCCATAATAATCATATTCTGACCCGCCTTATTAATGATATAATTAATTAAATTATTACTGACAAATAATAATCATATTCTGACCCGCCTTATTAATGATATAATTAATTAAATTATTACTGACCCATAATAATCATATTCTGACCCGCCTTATTAATGATATAATTAATTAAATTATTACTGACCCATAATAATCATATTCTGACCCGCCTTAATAATGATATAATTAATTAAATTATTACAGACCCATAATAATCATATTCTGACCCGCCTTAATAATGATATAATTAATTAAATTATTACAGACCCATAATAATCATATTCTGACCCGCCTTAATAATGATATAATTAATTAAATTATTACAGACCATAATAATCATATTTTGACCCGCCTTATTAATGATATAATTAATTAAATTATTACAAACCCATAATAATCATATTCTGACCCGCCTTATTAATGATATAATTAATTAAATTATTACTGACCCATAATAATCATATTCTGACCCGCCTTATTAATGATATAATTAATTAAATTATTACAAACCCATAATAATCATATTTTGACCCGCCTTATTACTGATATAATTAATTAAATTATTACTGACCCATAATAATCATATTTTGACCCGCCTTATTAATGATATAATTAATTAAATTATTACAAACCCATAATAATCATATTCTGACCCGCCTTATTAATGATATATTTAATTAAATTATTACAGAAATTAATAAATTTATTTTATATTTAACTTAAAATAATAATTTGTTTAAACATTCCTTTAATTATTACTATTAATTATTTCAAATAATTTTTTTTGTGATACACTTGTAATATAATTTGTTTTAGTCGTGTAAAGCGTATGGTCAGTGTATATCCCTTTTATTTAGTGATTTAATTCAATAGATTGGCCCTAAAAAAATAGTCGACATTTATTTTAATAGTAATAAATTTATAGAAAATAAATATTTTCTATCAATGACATAAAAATTGATTTTTTATTAAAATTGTTAACTAAATTATTGTTAAATTTTTTTTGTTTAAATATAGCTATTTTTAAGTTACTATCAGATATTAAGTGTTTATACTATAATATATAAAATTAATTTAATTTTACATTTATATAAAAGTAATAATTATTTCATATTAACTTCAATACTAAAAACTGTATTTTTTCAAATTTTTTCACATATTTTTTTAAATATGATTTACTAATATTATATTACTTACATTTATTAATTAATTATTTACTAAAAATATTTAATAAAATTTTATTTTTCTAATTAAAATTAGTTGAAATTATTTTAATTRAAAATAAACTTAATAATAACAATAATAACATTTAATAATATATATTCAATATATATATATATATTATTTAAACTATAAATACAATCAATTAAAATATAAAGTTATTTAATAACAATTAAATTTATTATACATTAAATAATGAGATTAACGTAATATTAATTTTAATAATATGATTAAACATATATCTCTGAGATCTCATAAATATGTAATAACTATAAGTTTATGTATAGTTATGTTTGTAATGGTAATTAAACAAATTTTATAATATAATAAATTAAAAATTTCGTATTAATAATTATTATTAGTCTAAATAGTTATTTAATTATTTAATTGAATTTTTTATATATAATTATCTAGCGATTATCATGTGGTATATTAAATGCATCGATAACTGATTATCAGCTAATATATGGCATAACATTACAACAATTATCACTTGTATTAGTTATTAATAACATTATGTCAATGTTTGGATCATTAGGTAATATTATATACAGTATAACATAACATTTTTTTAAAAATTAAGATAATAAACATAAAATAATTTATATAATAGAGATATTTTATTTTTTAAAAAWAAATTATATTATAAATATATAGTTGGCTTAATATCAACGTATGTGAATAAACAATTGATTTGTACGATCAGTTTGATAGTATATGGCATATGTTGGTCARTGATGGCCAGTCTATCAACTTATGTATGGCTAATGGCATCCATGTCTGTGTCAAGTTATGTCAATAAACAATTGGTTTGTATGATTAGTTTGATAGTATATGGCATATGTAATGCTATGTTAGCCAGTCTACCCACATATGGTTGGCTAATGGCAATGATGTCGGTTTCCGGTCTATTTCACGAAGGTTTCTATCTAATGAAAAACTTATGGCTACTGGAAATGTGGTCCAAACAGTCGGGTCCATATTTGCAGGCATTGAATTTTGCCGAAAGTATGGCCAATATATTGGGACCCGTACTGGTCAAACCGTTTCTATCGGAAGCCATACAAAACGGTACACACATAACGTATTCAGTGGGCAATACATCACGTATATACATACCGACACTACTAACTGGATCGTTGACTGTCGGATGTGGCATATTTCTAGGCATACTGTACTATATTAAACGGTATGATCCGATCAAAGTGGACACCAATAGTAATAATAATAACAAAACAGATAACAAATCATTATCATTGATATCAATAGTTTTATACCGTTTACATAGAGAACTGGTACCCAATTGCTATCAGTTTACTATAATATTGTTTTGTTCACTAATTTATACACTAATTATTCTGTTTGATTCMACTTATTATTATTTRTCAACATTTGCACAGTTATCTCAACTWCAWATGAGTCAACAATCGGCYGCATATTTAGTGTCCGGSTTYTCCATAGCATCGGCTGTCAGTCAACTGGTTTGCATACCTGCGGCYAAATACCTGAACGTCAAYCTAATAATGTATATATGTTTGKCACTGGTATTTAKCGCACAATTACTATATTTAATTTTRGCCAACAATTCATTGGCCATTATGTGGACGGCAACCATACTGTTTGGTATWGGTTTCGGACCACTAGCCGGTTGTMTATTAAGTTATATGGAAATCCTATTTCCCGTAACCGATATGGTCGGCATGTTTTACTCATTCATACACTACATTACATACATATTAATGATACAATTRTTAGSCATTTATATCACTATTAATTGTATGTCATTAGTTTATTTTAATTTATTWGYTGTTATTTTGGCAATTATTTTGCTAATATGTATAAATGTTATGAATTATTTACATAATAATTAAATAACTATAAATTTGAAAACTTAACTAAATTAAAATTTTCAAAACATTCAAAAAGCCAAAATTAATTGAATWTATATACGATTAATCAAAAATAAATAATTTATATATATAATAAAAAATAATAATAATAATTAYAACAAAAATAATTATCAATAAACTACTTAYGSTAATTAATAATTTTTTTTAAATATRCAAAATTGATGAATAAAATATRGTTTTATATTYAAATTTTTATAYCACTATATTTTTTAAAAATAATATAAATTTTTAATATTATATATTATATATATATATATATATATATATATATATATATATATATATATATATATTCATACATAAAGTAATTAWWTAAATTRTGAAATTTTATTTCTATTATTATACGTAAAACTTTCYAACATCTAATTTATTAACARTTATTTTATCAATTGTTTTGCTAATGTGTATAAATGTTATAAATTATTTACATAACAAACTATCAATTGTGTGAATACTGGGACATAGCATTGCCATAACGAACTTAAACCATGTCCAATGTAAAAAATATATAACATATTGATAGGCATTGACTACTAGTTTAAAGATAAATTTTTTTTGTATAATGTTTTGCAATTAATAAAAATACTGTATATATATATTTTTTATATATTTTCCAACTAGTTTTGATTAGTTTTTTTTTTGGATGTTTTTAAGTAATTTTCCCAATTTTTTTTTAATAATAATTTTATTGTTAAGAAATATATAAAGTTATAAATAAATAAATATATATAAGCTTAAATATTGAAAAATAAAATTAATTAAAAAGTTATTATAATTTTATTTATTTACGTTAAGTATACCCTATTTATTAGTTTTTAGCTTATTTTTCTTAAGTAAAAATCTTATTTAAAAATCAATCAATAATTATTACARATAATTAAAATGTTGAATTTTTACAACAACAAAAATTAATTTAATTTAGTTRAAAATTTAGAMATAAAGACAATATTAGCAAATAATTACTTATAAAATAAATTTGATTTAATTTATTGTTTATTACTTAAAATTTATTGAATTTAGCAAAATATACATTATATTTAATATATATWTATATATTGTCACATAATTATTATTGTCTAACATATTTAAAACAAACAAACAAAAAATAACTATTATTAAAAAAAATAGATATAAAATTRWACTAATTATATAGATTACTGTATATATATATATTATCWTATTTTTCTAAACAAATTTTTTTGTTGATATAATATATAGTATAACATAGTATAACAATATGTCCAACAATTTTACGACATTTTTTGTAGAACTTTCGACATTATCTATAAATTTCCATAAAATATAAAATAGTATATAAAAATATKTGAAAATYAATAACTAATTATTATTGTATTAATACTTCAAACTMAAMCAACCCACACACAAAAAACATACCGATTTAGTCTCCATATACTCCATAATGCCTTCCCAACCGGCCTCGCGACCCATACCCGACTCCTTATAGCCGCCAAACGGTAGCTGCGGTGCAAACATCATATACGTATTAAGCCATACGGTACCCTTGCGGACAGCCTGGGCAAACAACTGGGCCTTATCGATGTCCTGGGTRAACACACCGGCAGCCATACCGTARCTGGTATTGTTGCACCGGTCGATWACTTCGTCCATRTCCTTGAACTTAATGATACACTGAACCGGACCGAACATCTCCTGGCGGACTATCATCATATTGTCGGTAACATTAGTCAGYCTATGTGTTTGTATGGATAAATACATAACATAAGATATATWTATAAACWGTTARTTATTTAGGGAACAGGTATGACTGTAAGTATGTGTGTGTTTATATATTTATATATGTGTGTGTCTGTATGTATGTGTATGTGTCTGTATTTAAGTATGTGTGTGTGTGTGTTTATGTGTGTGTGTGTGTGTGTGTATGTATGTGTGTATGTRTGTGTGTGTGTGTGTTTGMTTGCTTACACAGTTGGCTGAACAAAATAGCCTTTTGTATTAATAGTTTTCATATTATTATTATTATTACTAYTATTATCCACACGTTTACCGCCGACGGCCAGTTTGGCGCCCTCTTGACGACCCATTTCGATGTATTTCAATGCCGATTGCATATGCTGTTCGTCGATCATCGGTCCCTGTTCGGTGKTGGTCAAACGGATCGCCCACCCGGCGATCTTTGGCCAATTGGACACATCGGTCGRCAAACTGCGGGTAGATTGACTCGTGAACGTACAGTCGAGTTGGCGAACAACACGACTGACCCGAATTCATAAATGTCGACATATGCTGTTTGGATAGACAGATAGATAGACAAACACACAAAAATAGTAGGCTATTAGCTTCGGGAGKGGGAGCTGTTTTCAATTATACCGCAGTTTTGGCCGCCAATTCGAGGTCAGCGTCGGGAAACACAACGAGCGTCGATTTGCCGCCAGTTTCCAGAGTTACGCGCTTAAGATTAGACTCGGCCGACGCCCGAAGCACTAGTTTACCGATTTTTGTCGAACCGGTAAACGATATCATACGGACGTCCATATGTTCGGCCAGTGCAACGCCGGCAGTCTGRCCACAACCGGGTACTATGTTGACTACACCGGGCGGAAAGCCGGCCTCTTTGACCAGATGTGCCAAATAGAGTGATGTCAATGGTGTCTATCGGGGGGATGGGAGGGAGCAAATTGTTTGAGTATTTTTTTGTTATTTCCCACATAAATWATACTAATACCTGTTCGGCYGGTTTGACAACTACTGTACAACCGGCTGCCAGTGCCGGAGCCAGTTTGCAGCACATCAAATAAAACGGTAGGTTCCACTTGAAATGGGTATAATAATAATAATAATAATTATAAAATATTATTAAACAAATCAATAATCAATAATAGCTATACTAATAATAATAATAATAAAATTATCGATTCAATTACCGGAACGATTAGTCCGCAAACACCGATMGGTTCTTTGCGAGTCCAGGCCATACATTGGCCGTCGGCCGGTAAACAAGTGCCGTKCAGTTTGTCGGCATAGCCGGCATAATAGCGTATCATATTGACCGCCCACTGGCACTCAGTACGGGACTCGCCAATAGGTTTACCGCTATCAGTGTTTCCAAATTGCATATATAGTCCATATCTCTTTGGCAGAAGTCGGCCAATAGCCATAGGCTCTGTCCTCTAACCGATGCATCGATTGTACGCCAAACCGATTTCTTTAGTTTTTTAATAATAATTAATTTTTTAAAATTAATTTTTATATAATTATTTAAACTATCATTTTGTTTATACACTAAACTCTATTGAATGCTTCTTTAGCCGCCCGGACAGCCATATCGATGTCCGGTTTGTCGCCGCACTGTACCCGACATATGGTCTCACCGGTGGACGGATTGATTGTTTCGCATGTTTTACCACTTGAACAGTTCATCCATTGATTATTGATAAACAGCTTTTTAATAAAATAAATAAATAAATAAATATATTTTTAATTATATAATTTAATATTATTATAAAATAATTATAAATATATATATTACTTGAGTGTATTTTATTTGTGGATAACGTTTGTCGGACATCATCATCATTATTAGTAGTAGTAGTGGTAATAATTAATTTGATAATTAAAAATCAAATATAAAGTAAAATAAAATAGTTATCTTTAAAAATTAGTATTTAAATTAAGTTTTAAAGTAAATTTAACTTTTTAAAACTTTTTAAACTTTAAAATACTTAGAAAACAATATTTATAATTATTTTATGACACTATTACTTACTTTCGAGTATTTATACAATTTTTTGAAAATAATAATAATAATGTATTTCATCAAAAATAAATAAATAAAAATCATTATATTTGACTCTAAAGTTTTAATATTTAAATAATAAAAAAAAGTTTTAAATATATAATTTTTTATATTTATATTCAATATAAATTTTATCAATTTCTAAATCAATAGACTATAGACTTCATCATAGTGTCATCAAATTGATAATTTTGATTTGATTGCAATGTTTTTAAATATATAAACATGTTTTTATTAATAATAATAATAAAATACGGTACTTAAAAAAAACTAGTCATACTGTCTAGACAATTATTAATTTTTTTTTAAAAAAAGTTTAAGAATTTATACTAAAATAATTTTAATAAACTTTACATTTAAAAAAAAAAAAATCTTAAATAATTGTTTTATTTAATGAGCTAATATATCAGCTTATTTTTATTAAATAATTATTTTTATAAAGTTATGTTTATAAATATATTATATAAAAATCATGTCATTCAATAATAATTTTTTTTATAATATTGATTTAAATATTTCAACTTTTTTTTTAAAAAAATAATCYAAATGTTATTGCTAAAAAATACAAAAAATTCTAAATGAGATAACTAATATTTATTAATTAATTAAAATTATAAAGACAAATATTAAAATGGTTAAAAAACTAAAATAAAATTAAACATAATAATTATTTATTTTTTCATATTTTACAATAGCTATATACCGATATAAACAGTAAATTTTAATTTATAATAAAATAATTATTGTTAATAAATACAGTATATATTATAGAGAATTACTATATATATATAACAATCAATAATATATTGTATATAATAGTAATAAATATTAAAATTATAGTAAATTATTTTTAATTTCAATATTATGCTAAAAATATGATATAATAATATTATAAATAAAACAATAATCAATCATTAGAAAAAAACAAATATAAACAGTTATTAATTTATTTTATTAATTATTTTATTAAGTTATTTTTATAGTCAAATATAACTCAATTAAATTTATTAACTTATTATAAATTGCACATAATTTACGTTATATATACAGTATATAATTAAATTATATATCAAATTGTTATCAAAATTT